CTTTGTATCTGGCTTACATTAGTAATTTACTCAGTTCACTAGAGACTTCATAGGGCCGGTAACCACTACAGGCTGAAGATGGGAGATCAAATAAAAGGATTCCGCATTTGTAGGCCAGCTGAAAGAACTGTCAATTAAAAACCTAGAGTACTTTTTGTCAGGGTTCAAAACATCCGTAATAAAACTGATGAAATACATCGTTCGGTGTTAAGTTCGTGATTGTAAGGCAGTTGAGTATCAATAAATATTGTTGGTGTATTGCTGTTCAAGATGATGATGATGATGATGATGACGATGATGATGATGATGATGACGATGATGATGATGATGATATGATGATGATGATGATGATGATGATGATGATGATGATGATGATGATAGGCGGGAGGAGGAGAATAAGTATCGCGTCGGATGTCTTCTATGTTTTCCTTCAATGGGACGTAGTTTAACATGAGCGGGTCCTTATTTTTCTCTCAGGCGTATGTGAAGGAACTATGAAGGGGTGTTATAACAGCTTAATCAACAACTTTTTCTTGGGCTGAATGAAGCCTGTCTAGGCAAATGCACTATTGAGGGGTTTAGGCATAAAGCTGGGAAATTGTACGATCGATTTATACTCTTTCAACCGTTGGCAATGTCTGCCAGCGAATCCCCTTCACCAGTCCTGGAATATGGAAACAGTTAGTGCTTTTAACTTTATCCCCTCCTCAAATGTGACCCATGTGAAATACACATGACCCCATCCTCAGGTAGTATCCTTTTATCCAACTAAGGTAATAAACCATCGCAAGTCAGGTTTACCATTTTATTTGAAAAACTGTGGCAATTTTTACACGGTAGGTTGAGAACGAAGCGATAAACAACTCCCTGGATCAATGGACTGCGCGAGGTTGAAGTGGTGTGCTCCATGACCGCAAGTCCATCGTTGACACAGCTTTTTGAATTACTTCTTCACGAAAGTTTCCTATGCGAAGTTTTGGACTCATTTCCACATTCAACAGTGCAGCGGAGAACAAGAAACGCTCTCAAGTTTCACAACTGATCAACTGATATCAAACAGATTCACTGTGGTTGGTGCATAGTCACTTCTTTGGATGCCTGCCTACCTGCCTTTCTGTTTTCCCTACCCACCTACCTGCTACCCTCCCGCCTGACCGCCTGCCCACCTGTTCGCCTGTCTGCCTGTCCATCTGTCTGTCTCACTACTGCCTGCCTTTCTGCCCGCCTGATCACCCCCTGACATGTCTTGATTTGATCGATACTATCATTTGAAAAGCTCAGCTCTGCGGTAAGTTGTTAGTTCGACGCACGTGACATCACCATATGTAACCGTACTGCCCCAAACGATCGATCTTTCTTAGGTTGCCACAATTTCAAAGCTTCGCTTGGTGTAACCAGCCGTGAGCCCTAAAACATACAAACTATGTACTGAACCAATTTGACTGGTGAGGATGTATAGCAGACTTAGGAAGAATCGTCAAGAGCAAATTTCGTACACATTCGAAACTGGTTTAAGTACTCACATTTAAGAACCATGTTTGGGTAACACGTTCCTGATGAACTGGGGCGTCCTACCTGTTTATTGAACCCTTTTTTTATTACGATCAAATCCGGGCTGTACATGGAGAGCAGCAGTAGGAAGCTGTTTTGTTGTATGACTGTGAGACAGCCCGTTCGAGCAGCGGAACTGAGACGTGTTCAGGTGTTGGAAAAGCGTTGTCTCAGAGCCACATCCCGTGTGGGTTGGTGTCGGCGGAGACGTTACGAGGCAACTGGGAAGCGAGCTTTTGGTTGCGCGACGGGCACTTCCAGCGAAGAATGTGTCCAGCACAAGAAACTGCATTGCTTAGGCCGCCTGTTGCGCATGCCGAACCATCGTCCGCCGAAGAAAGTGCCGTTCTGCGTACCCCATTCAGGGTGATGAAAGCAGAGTGTTAGCCGACCCTTCACCTGGCAGAGAGATTACGAAACGCTTGGGTGCTATCGGTGCTACTCACCCTTCAGGATCGGGACCAAGTGATCCCCGGTGCGCCTGGTTAGAGACGCTGTAAGATATGGTCATCAACGGGTGTCAATGGCGTTCTTGTTGTTAGTTTCTCGTCAGATTGCCTGAATGAGTGTTTGGACGTGTGTGAACCTCGGCTTCCAATATCCTAATCAGTACGAGCTTTTCTCGAGACAGTAAGTCGGATAGCACAGAATCGGCTGCCACGGGTATCCGGAGTGGCAACGAAGCCTAAGCCCAGAAAATTGGGACTACGAAAACATCGGTGCAACACTATGTAACAGCTTCATAATTAACTGAAGTTCGTAGTTTGCGGTGTCTAGATAGAGAGAAGGCCTTAAGCTCAGTGACTACCTTTAGATTTCGTATTCGAGCTTCAGATATTTAGCGAACGTCATCGTAATCGTCGTCACTGGCAGCACAACATCAGTGGTCAACATTGATGCCTCGCTGTTGTAGCAGACATCAGTCGATAGGACATCTGATGTACGCATTAGGGAAGCTTATTGGACCATCTGCCTCCTCACGTAAAGGCTGCAGTGAAAAACAGGGGACAATGTCTGAATAGTGGAGGCCGAACTGTAGATATGAGCAGTGGCGTGTAGTATTTCAATTCCAAAAGTGTGATGTGAACGTGAATTCTACCAATCCCACAACCACCTACAACTTCTTCCAAGGGAGCCTGACTGACGTTTCTACAACTGAGGTCTACATATGAGTGATTACCAAGTGGGATAGAACAGGAGTTAAAAGATAAAAATGGAGAAATACCAGATACACCCGCAGTCGTATGCTTTCATTCATCCACCCTGCCACTTGCAGCGAATAAGGCGACCAGGCTAATGTCACCACGCGACGGTCGATGTGGTATGAAATTTCTCCCATGTGTAAAGCTCGTTGTTTTATGTAGCCTGATGTTCTTCTAGGGCGGCTAAATCTGGACGGAAGGATGATTAGGGTCGTCAAAAACCTGACCGGAAAGCAGCGGTGACTTGACACTATTAGTGCACGGTTTACGATGGCCATAATGTAACTCAGAAGGTATGTGCACCAACAGCAGTTCTTATCATGGTAGTTAGTGATTTACAGTTGCTAGTTGCATTGTGATAAAATAAATGCAGTGCGAACACTGGAATAAGTGAGGGTACTCGGGTGAGAGTTCTGACGGGGGAGCGTGTTTTCTTCGCAGCATAGCTGCTACACGTGTTCCTTAGCTGTCCGTAGATTTGTGTAGTTTGGTCGACTTCCTGACCTTGCGCGCGAGCGTGTATGTGCGGTGATTGCGGCGTGTCTTCCCATTTCTAAGAAGGTTTGACTTGTGCATAATTCAATCGAATCGTTCCGACATGTACAAGACGGGAACTGACTTGTCGGTCTAGGTTGCGAGCGGGACAGTGTTTTGTCACGCAGTTTATGCATTTGCGGAGCAAAGTAGCCGTATGATCTAGTGAGCACGGATGCGATGGACGAGTTAAGTGAACTTGGTTGAAGGGACCAGTAACCCAAATTTTCAGCAACAAACTGCTGCATAGGTTTCAACTCCCAACCTAGACGGCCAGGAGACTTTGCTTGTCAGATTTCAGATCCATTGACTAGGATGGATGGAGAGACTCTGTGTATGCTGAATGAGCATCCTCCAGTATAGCTGAATGGATCACTGAGCTAAGCATACCGTCGTACCGTGATAAGGTCCGGTATCTTTTGGACGGTAGGACAAAAGCAATCCCAATGAGGCTTGGACAAAGCATCTCTGCAGAGCAAGAGTTCCGCCTCAAGGGACTCAGCTTCTACTGAAATGAAGTCACAGGCTTGAAGTAACCGGTCAGCTTAGAAGCGTTGATGAAGTCTATCGCATTTCATGAAAATGCAGAAAAATAACTTGACAAAACAGTCGTTCGAGCCATCTCTGGGATAAACAAAAGGAAGCCGTGAACAGATCGAAGAAAAATGAGGATATCACCGTTCTACGGACCGACAAAAGATGGCTGACAAAGATTACGGATAAACCTGACCACACCAGTAGAGAAGGATTTTTAGTCAACAACGCAACTACATATCGGGTGTTCAATTCAATTCTGAACAGATCAAAAATGAGGACATCACCGTTCTACGGACTGACAAAAGATGGCTGACAAAGATTACGGAACTACCTGACCACACCAGTAGAGAAGGATTTTTAGTCAACAACGCAACTACATATCGGGTGTTCAATTCAATTCATCAGCTATAAACCGTGAGCCATAGGCACGTTGGCTCCAGTTGCTACAGTTTCGATCACCGGAAAACGATAAATTCGAACATACATACATCATCATCATCATCATCGACAGCA